ATTTAGGAAGGAACCTGAAGAGAAAGGGTGAAGGAAACTTTTTGGGGGAAGCCATGAAGAACTTCAAAATCCTTACACTGCTTAAAAGGACTAGCTGTTTTGTGATGCCCCTTAGCATCACAGAACAACTTTTATGTGCCAGGAATCATCAGCTTAGAAATCAGAATATTTGCTATGCAATGAAAATGTTTCAGTTATATGGGCTGTCTATTTGCCTGGCCAGCTGCAAAAATAAGAATTAAACATGTGAAAGAGAGGCTACTTTTGACCCAAATGAAATAATGTACTTCTAATGATTGTTTAATCTTATTGTTGTATATTGTTTTAGGGGTGGTGATTTTAAAAGGTGAAACTGATTTTAGGACAGGGCTAATCTTGGGTTTTTAATATTTGTATTTGTTTTACTAAGCTGTGTTGATGTAAAATTTGTGTTTATGTTTATATTTACAGTATTACGCACAATGATCTATGGCTAAGATGCTACATCAATACATTTGAATGTGTCAGTTCTAGGATTCACGAGTTATGCAATATATTCTGCATTAATAGATTATGGTACAGAACTACAAGAGTCAACTATAAAGATCACCTACTTAGGAAAGTCAAGATTCGCTATCTGTTTAGTCTTTTAGATGGTAATAATTAGCTAAATTTTCTAGGACACTAGCTTGTATAAAGGCTATTTATTTAGCATATCTACATTCATAAAAGTATACGTCTGTAGTGGATTTCAAATTACAGTATAGCCAACAGTAAATTATAAGGACATCCTGCATTTTACATTACATTAAAACCATAATCCAGCTAAACAAAGTTGCTATAAGGCTACTTGTCCTGACTAAAGTCAGATAAACCCCACTAGATGGCACTAACTGACCCTAGTGATTTATTTGCCAAAGACAAGTTTCAATTCTGCACAGGCTGGAAGCAAACAAGTTGTTGCAGGTGGTGGAAGAACAACCTCCTTAGAGAAGTGGTGAAATTCTCATTGCTTAGGACTTTTACAACCAGACTGAATGAACACTAGAAAGTTTCCTCTAGGAAACCCACCCCATATTGACAGGGAAATAAAAGGAACTCTTACTCCTCCTACTTCTATGACACTCAAGCCAGTCTGAAACTTTTTTTCCTATTTCCAGTGGGCTATACAACTCAATCATACAGATCGTTAAAAATATTTTGAATGTTTAGCAACTTTAAAAAAAAATCTTACAGGTAAGGTAGTTTTGGCTAATGGTGTGGTCACAATTATGGCAAGATTAAATAAATCAATTACACCTCTCTGAAGAGACATGGTCCAAGTATAGATTAGGGCCCCAGGCACTGCCTAACTCGAATGCCAACTCCAAGTGGTCTAATTCCAATGCTGACTCTCTGCAGCCTCTGCTAAATCAAACTCTCTGTCTCAGCTCCCCTACCTTTAAAATGGGAATAAGTACCCCACCGGAATACTGGGAGGATTGTTTGTGGAGTGCTATGAAGACAAAAGCACTATGCAAGTACTGATTATTAATATGACATGGATAAACGGTTACCATGAGTTCCATATCTTAACTGGCTACACATATGGAGTGGGATTGTCAAACATGCCTAAGTGATTTAGGAGCACAAGTTCCATTGGCTTTTAAATAGGATTTATCCTCCCAATTTACTCAGGCACTTTTGAAAATGCCACCAATTTAATATGCTGTGACATTCTGAGCCAAACATCAGTGAAGAAGTTAAACATGCTGTGGGAGCAGAGGGATCAAATCTTAGAGTCCTTCCAAAAGCATATCCTTTGTCTATATACAAAATGCCTCTAAATGGTATCAATGACGAGCAGCTTCCTCTCTGGTTTTGACTGAGTATTAGTTGAGCTACTCACTAGCTTTGAAGCTGGTCTGGAAGAATTTCAAAATACAGCCTCAAATTTGCATTACAAAATGTTACCCACCTGAATATAATAATACAACTATTAAGATATTTACTAATTTCTATTAACTAGAAAGCAGGCAGTGATTTGCTTTTCAAGTAGATTAATACGCCTCTCTACTGCTTATATCCACACACAAAAATGAAGATTACTTATTTGAATATGAATGCAATGACTTTCATAAGCAGACACTTCCAAAGAGGCCAACACTGGCAATGACCTGCTTTCCCCTTTAAAGATTAACAAAAGGCTCTTAAACCAAGAAATTCTACATTATTTTGTTGAATAGAAGTAAGTCTGTTCTATTGGATAGTCATTTGCACAGCTCAGAGCTTGTGAAGTACTCAGAGCTTAAATGAAATCAGAATTTCAACCTAAGAAAATCAGGGCGCGATTTCAGCTTTACGCGGTCGGCAAAAAGAAAAAAACCCAACAATTTTAATACTGTACTTGTAGTTCGGGCAATTCCGCCCGCCATTCAACTCTATGTAATTTTCGCTTTACGTGCTAATCGCGGAACGGAACCCCCGTGTAAGATGAGACTCGCCTGTACAGCAAAGGCACAGCTATCTAGTATTAGTCGCTGGTGCAAGAGGTGGAAAGCATTCTGTACCTGATGCAAACAGATTTTGTGGGGGACAACAGCCATATACACACACCCCTATCTCAACTAAATACTGTATAGTATACATTAAAAATATAACTTGGAGGGCAGTAATGTACACATTGTTCATAAGTCTTCATCCCTTCTTACTAGCGGATTTACACACGTGTATATATATATATATATTCCAGAATAGGAAAGACTGGTCCATATAGGCATCATTATTTCAAGGCATTTTTCCCCATGCTCATTTTTATCCCTCCTTAACTACATATAGGCAGTAATTTGATGTATAACTCACAATGTATTCAATACTGTATATAAAGTTACGTCTTTAATTCAGACAATTAGTGTATCAGTCGAGAACTCTGACATTCACATGCTTTTCAACTGCTTTACATATCTTCAAGAGGCAGGTGAAATAGTCACCTATGTGCTTTGTATATTTCTGCTGCATACTATTCTTGCCACACAAGTTCTCTAGTCCCCATAGCTATTAGTTTTAAATATCTCATAGGAGCAATGCCAGAATCAATGTATTAGTGTTTGTCACACACTTTGAGAGCCACAGATGAAAGGCCCTATAGAAGGTCTAAGTATTATGATTGTCTCTAATTTGAAAATCATTCAGAACAAGGATAGAGTTCAAGGATTGTAATAAATACTTGATGTACATGAACTTGTCTTCAACCCTTGCAATTATTCACCAACAATAGGCTCTCACTAATCTGCACACTTTATAATTTGCACTGAGTGGCTGTGTCTCCTCACTTCTCAGCAAAAGATTTAAAAGCCTCCAGGGCAGAAATTTCACTGCATGACTTCATTATTTTTACAGGATATATTACAATACATGATGAAGTCTTAAAAATAAAATACAAATTTCCAAATAAGTGAAGTTCACTGCAATGCACTATGGTTGTTTTATTGTGGTTACTCTAATTCATAGAATTCAGTAATTTTCAGTGAGCCTCTTAGTCAATCAGTGTATAGTTCTACTGTATATTTAAATATCACTAAACTCTAAGTTAAGTCAGAAGCCAGAGAGATTACATCACATTCAGCAGGAAAAAGTCCATGTAGATCTGTGAGCCATGCTAAAAGGGTCAAGAGCCAGTGGCAGATTTAACTTTGGGGCAGCGTCTGATCAAAGGGAAATTTGGTTAACAGGTAGGGTTGCCAATTTTGGTTGGACATATTCCTGGAGGTTTCATCACATGAGACAATCTTTAATGAAAGGTTCATCTTTAATTCCTGGAGACTTCAGGACAATCCTGGAGGGTTGGCAACTCTATTAACAGGAAACTGCCTTGTCAGCCAACTCAAGGATAATGAGAACAGGCACAGACACACAAAGTTCTGCCAACAAGCCACGGGAATTTATTTAAGGTAAAGATAATTAGATACAGTACCAAGGGACGAGATCTTATTAACATCCTCTACGCCTCTCCAGCTGAAGTCAATACAATGTATTAGTGGTAATACTACTCTTCCATCCTCAAAAACACTTCACTCTCCAAAACTCCCCCTGAAAATAATATTCCCATTTTACAAGTGGGGAAACTGAGGTTGAGTGCCTTGCTCAAGACCAAAAAGTGTCTCAAAACCGAGCTTAGAACTTCCTTAATCAGAGTTTTGGAATCCCATTCATTTTTGAGTGCATTTAACAGACTACTGTGCAAAATAAATCAATATATATATGCAATAACTTGCATTTTAAAGCAAGAACCTTATGTCATAGGTCCATTTTGTAAACTACCCACAGATTCTAATCTGAATAAAAGGATATTAAGCGCTTGGTTACTTAAAATAAGCAGTTATCTTTAGACATGAGCAAAATCATTGTAGTCAGGAAGGAAAACTTACTCTCAGTTCAAAACACAGCATAAGGAATTTTTGTGTTTAGTTTTAGGAGAGAATTCCCCTCTGATGTTAAGACCTTTACATGATAAATTTTAGCTGGCAGAAAAAAAATCTGCTCTTAAATCACCCCAAAACAAGCTGCAAAGAATCAATGCTGACAGAAGAACCTTGACCAATTTTTGACGGATATATATTCAAGTGGAAAGGGGCATCTTAGGCCACATGCTCACTTAAAGTCAGTTCTCATTTCCCAACACCTACGCTGAAACCTGCATTAAGAAACATCCCCAAAAGGCAGCATGCTATCTGAAGTGACCATTTCCAGGGGTCCCCAAGGTTTTTAGTCCAATTTTGTTAGCACTATAAACTGTGTTTAGACTACAATTTAAAAACAGGCCCAGACCTTTAAAGACCCTAATAATGTAATCAATTTTGATAGTTCTTTTGGTAGCGGCTTTTGAGTTTCACTGTTTATTCTCCCAGCACCTTAAAATGATCAGATATTTATAATACAACTACACAATTTCTCATACAAGTATATACACCTCACTCCTACGGTCACTTGGAGACAGGGGAAGAGTTTTAATACATAACTTATTTTAAACAGTTAACACTCACCTCCTGCTCCTGTTGAAAGATGACAACTCTACCTCCTTTGTCTCCTGTTGCTAGTAATTCTCCAGAATGGTTAAATTCTACAGTAGAAATTATATCCGCTGCATAACCAAGAACAAAAAAAGCCATGAGTCAGCATTTCTTCTAAACATCTATTCAAAAAGTCAAGAAAATTATAAATGGTTAAGGAGTACAAACAGAAAATCTTTCCTGACAGCTTGACAAAGGCTCATTTTAGTCTAAATCAGTCTTATTCTCCGAATAAAATGCTCACAACAGGGAAAATGTCCAAAATTGTTTGCTCAAACAGAAAAAGGCCGGTAATAGTGGGTTTTTGGTTTTGGTTTGTAAAGAGGTGCGGAATAGCAAAAAAAATGTTAAGCTAAGTATCTCAAAATCATTCCACATTTATTGAGTTAGAAAGATCATAGTTCCAGATTCAGTCATGCTCACTGCCTGTTTCAGGAGTCTTTGGTCATCTATTACTAAAACTGAGAAACAGCCCTAATCTCTGGCCACGCCATATATGAAGTAGGAATTGGTTTTCACGTGTTTCTGGTAATACTGACATCTGCATATATATTCTGCTAATTTCACCTAGACCTCTGTCATTCATTTTTAACAGTAGAACTGGATACATGCCCATTACCCACACGGATCTCAAAGCTTGTCTCTTCAGGACTGTATGTACACATCAGAAAGCTTTAGGCAGAATTGTTTTACTAGGGTGGACATGCTCAAACATCAGCATCTGAGGAATGCAAGGAAGCAGAACCAGAACAACTACACTCAAGTTAAGATCTTAAGTTCAAATGCCAGTCTTAAAATAAAAAATAAAAAAGGGGGGGGGGGGAAGAGGTAGAGGAATTACTGTTCTCAGACTACTTCCTCATCAGATTTACATTGGGTTTTTACCTGCTAAAATTGTTTACTAAGGTTTTTTTTCCCCCCCTTCGAGAGTGCTATATAAATTGGGCAAGTTTTGTAATTCTATATACTGGGTACTCATCTCTGCCAATCATCCCTTTAAGAATGGAATTTAGCCTACAATATATAAATAAACTGGTCTTGCAAGAGAGGCAATGTCAAGTGTCAAACCTTAGGGTGAAAATTAAGCCTATACCCACTAATCTATATCAATTCCTAGCACATATACAAATACAAGTCTGGTTTTATCGGAGTTATATCTTTCCTCTGCAGAAATTAAAACTAAGCAGAAATTATTTTGAATGTTGTGCATGGATTCCTTTAGGCTTCCTGAATCCTACATGACATGCTATTAAATTAAAAATTAATTTAAAACATTCAGAATTTAAAATGTTTCAAGTTTAACCTTTAAACTTACGACCCCGTTCCAACTCAACTAATCGCCAAAGCATTTTCATTCTAGTTAGTTTTTAATACACAATACACTATAGACATAGTGTCAGCAAGGATACAGAGGGGAAAAAAATAAATATCCAGCAAAAGTATAGTATGTATTTTTCCTGGTGGATTCTGGAGATTAACAAACCCAGGCTATTTTCTTCAGAAGCAACAGAATAAGTACATGAGGGAATCAGAACTTGCACTTCACTGTAGAAATAAATATATGTATACCAGGTTATAAACACTTCCTTCTATGAAACCACAATACACCTCTACCCCAATATAACACGCCCCAATGCAGCGCTCCAGGGGGGCGGGGCTGTGCACTCCGGTGAATGAAAGCAAGTTCGATATAACGCGGTTTCACCTATAACGAAATAAGATTTTTTGGCTCCCAAGGACAGCGTTATATATGTAGGTGTAAGTATATTCTCCATTAACTAGAAGAGATATTTCAGTTTATTCCAGGAATAATATCTTAAATACATTATATTTAATTTGTAGACACTTTCCACTTCATCATGGAGCAACAAATACAAGACTTTCCGGCAGAAAAAAAAGTATGTAAGTTATTTTCAGGCACAAAATATCTTTTTTTTTCATTCTTGTGTAATGGAGATGAACAATGCACTGCATAATTTTTGTTGTTGTTGCTTGATCTTTTCTGCTTTCTTGTTTTACATTTTGGAGCTCTGAGGAGCTACCTTGCATACTGAATGCTACTGAGCAAAACGTCCCATGTATATCTTAACATCCAAAGATTTCTGCAGAGAGGCAGGTCAGGAATCCATGTTATGAGAACAGAAAGCAGACACCAAAAGTACCCAGCTCCTCTCATTTAAAGGAGGACAGGAAATTTCATGTCTTTTCTCTGTGATTTTGAAGGGAGACATTTTTCAAATGCTTACGGTGGATCTTATGCAAAAATCATTCTGATGTGATTCCAGAAAGATGGGTGGTGCCCTTTGTGGGCATTACTAAAATATCCTGTTTTCTATTTACTGCAATATACAGCAATTACAAGCATGGACTACTGTCTCAAAATTGTGCAATGCCAAGACAGCTTAAACATGCAGGCCAAACTGAGCTGCAAAATCCCCAAATATCAAGGAAAAAGATGCAAAGTCAGACTTCTGGCATGGATGGGAGTATGTTAGATGCACAGCTCAGTTCTGCTCTCCGATATGCAGTGTTCACTGCCGCATATTAGAGAACTGAAAATACAGAGCTGATGAAATTTCTCACTAACATGATCCTAAAGTTAAATATGTAGATGTAATGTAAGCTTCTTTCTAAATACACCAATATTCACACCACACCGGCGGGCGGAAGAGCGGGAGGGGAATACTATGCGTTAAATCTCTCATTAACAAAATATAAGTTTATCCTTCATAAATTGATTCCCCCCCCCCTTTTAAAAGTAACAATATCCATTCATTCCTCCTCACTGCTGGCTAAAAATGATATTTGCCTCTCACTAATGCTGATGTTTGAGTTTACTTTTTAAAAAAGATTTCAGAATATTTATGTAAATAAACAGTAGTATGGGTGTTCAATGTACACCCTTCACAAGTTAGACTGTAAGGGGCAGAGACAGTTTTTATTTTGTGTTTGTACAGCACCTAGCATTCTGATCCATGACTAGGGGTCCAAGGCACTACAGTAATACAAATAAATAATAATGAGTAGACGTAGGAGCCAGGAATTCCCAAGTTCAAATCCTGACTCCCTCTGTTATCTTGGGTGAGTAAATTTAAAAACCTCTATTTCCCCATCTGTAAAACAGGAAAATAATAGTTACTGCAAAGGATTGTTTTGAGGTGTTAATGTAAAGCACTTGCAAGTCTGAGAAAGCTATATGATCCAATAAGCAATATTAAAGGAAAATATTTATCAGATAAAAGCCTGGGCACCTCATTCCAAGTCAAAATGGATATTGTATGGCTTCAGAAAACATTGAATACTAACGAATGTACAGAATGAAATATACTTTGAAAAGCATTCCGGAAAATGAGCTGCTAGTATTTTCACTGACTGCTGAGCTAACCATGATGATGAGAAGACAATTTTGCTAATAAACTGGAATGGCACCTGCAAGTTTGAAAGGTAAAAACTGGCTTTAGAACCTGACTGCAGAAGACATGGGTAAAGCTATCACAGTACTTATTTGGCCAAGAAAAAGCATGCTTTGAAAATATTACGTATTCACGCCAAAATGCATATTTTTGCAAGCCTAACGGTGTGTTTATAGGAATGATCAGAACAGCAAGTCAGGTCAATTAATGCACATTTGATGCATTTCATGACAAGTTATTTTGCAGAACTGCCATTCAAAAAAGGGAAAGGATAAAGACCCCACGTTGAAAGCCTTACAATCGTGATATACAGCAATAGAAGCCAGGAAATTCTAAGTGGGGGGATTGTAATTGAATTTTCTGGGATTTGTTGATCCAATGGTTTTCCTTGAACATAGTTTTTCTGAAATACATTCAGAGAAGCGTCTTATGGTCTTTGCTCATGAAGGTAAACCAACTGCCTGTTTTTCACAGAAAAAAAGTACATTTTGTACATAGATTTTAAGTCTAGAAATCACCTCCTATCACCTCCTAAATGCATCCAGTAGCCTGCAGGAGGTCTCCCAGTCTAAATATTACCTCTCACCTTACAGGTTTGTGTGTATGTGTGAGTGTCTGATTAGTGGCCAGCAAGCTGACACAGCTCCTGTTTTGTTTACAGAATCAGCTGCATGAACCTCCACCAGTGAAAGAAGTTTCAGGGCTAGCATCCCCACCCCCTCCAAGAAAAGACAGCATGCTCTTCTGAAGGTGACAAGACATTCAAACTCTGAATGCTGCATCTACTTGTGTTTTATTTTTCTAGTATCCAGAAAATAGGTATTTTAAATGGCTTGGATCAATTTAGTTTTAAATTAAAAAAAGAAAGTTCTTTATTTGCAATCACAACAGAAAATTAGCAACTCCTTTAAGGCTGTAAAACTCGTATTTAAAAAAAGTAACAATGAATCTAAGGAACTTGTCTCTTATAAGGCAAGCTTGAGCTATTCATTCTCAAAGGTCAAAACATATGTATCCTATACAAGTAATCAAAAAAAGGCTTTCCTATTATTAGCCTGAAAATAGTGCTGAGCTGCACATTTATATAAAATAAGTACTGAAAGTAAAGCAACTAATCAAGCATTTTAAATCAAGTAACTCACCGTTAAGAATACTGTATTCCCATACCTTGGTCAAAGAAAGAGGCAGACATCAAAGCACTGGTGTTAGACTGGGCGGATTTAATAGTGTTTGAGAATTGACAGGGGAAGCATTTCATCTTCCGCAGTGCACTACTTCGCTTGTGTATTTTCATCTGTGTTAACACCCTTGTTCCCAAATAAAATGAATGCTAGTCTTTTCTTTCAAATGGTAACTAGAATCCCAGTGACAATTACAAGGCAGGATTATTTTAGTCCTTCAGTGCTGCAATGGGAAACAGAACGTCTACAGAACGTGCTGCTTTCTCTTGCCTCCTCCCTTTTGAGGATGCTATTTTCGCTACAGTCTCTAGGTGGAGGCCTTGGAAACTCTCAGGGCTGCTTTCACCACTGCCCAGGAGCTTCCAAATGATAGGCAAACAGTACAGAGGAGGAAAATCTAGGAGGGAGAAGCAGCAAACATATTGAGGCTCTAGTAAGTCTGCATCACAACAGACTTTCAGAAATATACTGCATTCT